GGAAATGATCCAGCTACGGCCATTTTCGAAGCGCACATTTCCGACGCCCTCATGTCTAAAAAAATTAGTATGATAAGTGCCTGGGAGCAAATGTGCTTTATACAGACCAAAATTTCCCGTATCCATCGGTGGATGATTACTCAATTTGCTTCAATATCGGCAGAATGGATACACCAATCTTCGGGTGTGACTGTTGAATCAGCCAGCGATGCTCTGTTACTATCAAAGTGCATAAATTATACTAGATATGCCATAAACTTTGCCCGGAAGATTTCTGTTTTGAGCACTTCCCTATAACTTTACCAAATTCAAATATCACTTATTTTTTGGAAGTTAGTGATAGGAAGTTAATAAGGACCAGTCCTCGAATCCCTTGTAAGCTCAGACCTAAACACACCTATCCACAAGATCCAAGACTAAACACCATGTACGAAGTAACAGCCTTCGGATGAGTTAAAATTGTTGGAACTCAGCTAGATAACGTTCTACCTTCAAAGACTAAACCAATTTCCCGCATTCAAGGCTATAGTAAGGACATTTTAGTCGATAAACCACAACGCCTTTCACCGTATACGGTCTTACAACTGATATCAGGGTTGCATGAAATGTTACTAACACTCAAAACCATTAGTAATACAAATGGAGGAGATATTTTGACAGGCATTGGTACGGCCTTAGGCAGTGCACTACAAGCCACAGCAAGCAGAGGGAGCCAAACTATTAAAGCTATCGGAGGAGCCGTTAAGGACTCCTTAAGTGGTGTTTCCGATTTAGACGAAAAATTAGCTCAATCAATTGGTGTTGCTTCATCCACAGTATTAAAAGCCGCAGGAGGAGCTGTAAAAGATATTGGAGAAGGCGCAGGCTCCTTTTTCCATAAATTTCTAGGTGGCATTAGTGGATCCATTTTGTTGGCAGCAATACTTCTCATAGTAATCTATTTGATTGTGAATAAACCCACTTTCAATTATGCCTTACCGTGCCTAAAACCTTTTCAAAAACACTTGGAAAATGAGGCTATGGTGAAGCCACGACAAGATCAGTCCACATCAATGTCCCCTAAGGAAAAAGACATTCCACGCGTGCTTGCAAGTATCCGGCTTGTAAAGATGTCCATAGAGACTAGAAGATTACTTGTTAACGGTAGTGGCAGGAATTAGGGCTTTAATAAATTCCCAGATGGAGACATGGAACGCCTCCAACCACCATGAGTTTCATGTAAAGTTAGTTGCGTTTTCCAAATTGATTCTGCTAATTATTCGAGATACTGTTGTTTGCAGAGATTTACTGATTCTGCTGATTATTCGAGATATTATTGTTGTACAGAGATTTTACTTATTCTGCCGTTTATTCGAGTTGTTGTTTGCAGAAATTTATTGATTCTGCTGATTATTCGAGATACTGTTGTTTGCAGAGATTTACTGATTCTGCTGATTATTCAAGATATTGTTTAACAGAGATTTGTTGATTCTGCTGATTTATCGAGATTTTTATTTTGGCAGAGATTTTGCTTCTAAGTCCGAGTACGGACTTTTTTTTGGTTCGTAAGTAATGTTACAAAGGTTACTAATCATTCAAGCGGAACGCTTGGGTTAGGTGAACCGTAAAGAAGATTTAACATAAACAATATAAACTAAATAATTCGTTCAAGAACCAAAAGGCGTCTAGCGTCTGGGGAAATCGTATAAAATGCAAAGAAGACAAGATATGCTGTGTATGTGTATGTGAATATAGATATAGGGGATATACAAAGTCGGGGTTGAAGTAGATGGTCATCCAGAAGAGTTAGTGAAGCAATAGTAGACTAATTAATTAAAAGACAAACTATTTAAGAGAATAATATAAATTGTATTTATATATATTTGATTATTTATATTTGGGTAAACGAGACAAAGATGTTTATTTAAATAAAGTTACTTTATAACACTTTGGAGTAAACCTATAACGTATAACCACGAGAGAAACCTATTACATAACATATATATATATATACATATATTTATATATATATATATATATAAATATATGTATATATATATATATATATAAATATATGTATATATATATATATATATAAATATATGTATATATATATATATATATATATATAAATATATAAATATATGTATATATATATATATATACTTATATATATATACATATATATGTATGTATATATA